AACTGATGGGGCATTAGTGTATACATGTATGGTCCGTAGTTTTGCTGCTTCATTTTCCTCCCAATGCTCAACAATGTGTACCAGATAGCCATCTTCAGCATTATCTTCAGTAGCTGATGCTCCAGGATTTACAAGCTTTGGAGGATTAAGAGGCACATCAACCCCTCCATTAGTGTTATTTCGTAGGCCATTGTAAAGCCACCATGAGCGATACCAGTAAGCTGAGGCTTTTGCAAATCCGGCCAAGTCAATTGAACCAAAGGAAGAAGAAACATGAGGCCAGCCATTGAATGACGGTTCACCATAATAGTCAAACAGTGTCCATACCATGCATCCAGCAACAAACAATCTATTCAGTTGGTTCTCAGTCTGAGCTTTGTTACAGTCAGCATTAAAATTGCCAAGTATATAATTTGAACTGTCAGGAAAGTCTTCACCTCTTTGTGTTGCACATGAGCAGCACTCAGACCCAATGGTAGGCATTGAGGGAAATTTTTCGTGAAAGTCGTCAAACACACTACCAGATTGATGAGAAAAACCTTGCAGGTCAATCAGTAAAGTCAAATTATTCCCGAAATTAGAGTTCATGTTAGCAGTCACTGGACGATTGGGATCAGCTTCTTTTGATACTTCTCTAAACTCCTTTGCTATCTTCTCATCCTGATCACCATGATTGCACTCTTCATCATTACAAAAAGACCAAGCCATGATGCTAGGATGGTTCCTATCCCTCTTCACCATGCTCCTCTGATTGGCTACCCTGATAGAACCATTACCATACTCTCTGTTCTCATCCCATACTAGAATGCCTATATTATCCATAATATCAAGCATGACTGGTATTGGAGGGTTATGTGACATACGCCATGAATTAGCACCCACTGCTCTCATTGACTGAGCCCTAAATAGGTTAATCCTGTCAGGGACAGCTATACCAACTCCAGTGAAGTCATTGTGATTGTTAAAGCCTTTCCACGTAAAACGGACATCATTCAAAAAGAATCCCTGGTCTGCATCCCACTTCACCCTTCTTACTCCAAGAGTTACATTAATGGTATCAGTCACTACACCAGTCCACAAGTCACACTTCACTGTATAAAGATATGGTCTTGCTGGGCTCCATGCTTCAGCATTGTTTACTGTGATTGAACCACGTAGTATCTTGGATTGTCCAGGGTTAAAGGTATTAGGGGGTGACATGGTGTAACCCACTTGCCTTCCATCTGCATCAAAGACTGTAATTTGATAGTATCTTTTTTGTTCTTGATTGTCGTCATTGATGACATCCATACTGATATCAAGTGTCACTGAATCTACATAGTCTCCTTCACTGATATCCCCTGGATAATGTGGGTGAAAATCTCCATTGACTGTAGTGGCAACGTAAATTCCATTAGGTAAGAAATGAATGACATCAGCAGCAACAAGGTACGTGTTACGATAAATACCCCCTCCTTCATACCACCAGCCAGAATAACCAAAGTTTGGGGTACTTTGCACTACAAGTACATTATCATTTTCTTGACCATCACCAAAGAATATACTGGAGGCCTTGTCAAGCCTAACAGTGAAACTAGTGTAGCCAGAATCCTCATAATGGAGATGCTGTCCATTCAGATAAATATTTGATCCTTTAAAGACTCCCTCAAAGTACACCCATATAACCTTACCCTTCCAGTCGGCTGGTAGATTAAAGTGTTTGCGATACCAAGTCACATTCTTTGGAAGATAGCCCTGCTCTTTTGAACTATATCTATCATACTCACCATTAATGAATGCATCATGAGGTGTATCCACTATTTCCCATGTGCTGTCATCGTAGTCACGAGAAGTCCTTTCATTTGTTGTAGGTGGGGGTGGTTGAGCTGGAGTTTTTCGACCACCTTGACCAACTCTCCCAATATCTGGTGCATGACAGTCTGCACCAGATCTTACCTATCCAGCAACCATCGTAGTCAGAAAACTGCCACACAGAACACATTATGTTACCACAGCATGCTCCACGACAGTCATCACTATTGCTTGCTGTAGCCACTGGGAAAAGACCAAAGCATTGAACATTATTAAACTCAATTGGAAAGTCACTGTCAGGGCAGGAAACTATATCATAATTTCCCTCCTGGAAGCGCCATGCATAGTTAAAGTTGACAACTTCTCTTCCTATGACTTCAAATGCTTCTTTATAGGAAGCTGAGAAGGAAAAGGAACTGTAGAATGAAAGAGCTAGAACCAAAATAGCTAAAAGGTTAGACATATTAAATGCTGATACAGGAAACAGTAAATAGCTTCATTCTATATATAGTGTTGTATTGTAATTCATTGACTGTATCAAATTATTCATTTTTATGAATGCCATCAAAAATGCCAGCATTGCAGTAAATTTATTGATTATTTTTATTTAAGGCTTGGTCTTGTATTTATAACATCAGCTTTGTTGAAAGTAATTCTTAGGTTCATTGTCAAGTCCTTTTGTATGAGTCATTGGAAAATTTCTAATTTAATTGTACCACGTAATGTCATGTACTCTTGATAATGAGTCTAGTCTATAACACCAAGTAGACTACATGCCTGCAGCATTAATTTGTATCTATATGATGAAGTTCATCAGGATTAGGGTGTTAGACAATGATTAAAAATGAGCTTCATCACTGTTAATATTTATTGCTTTCAAAAACATGTTAGCTTAGATTCATGTGTGCATGTATAAAGATTCGCATATTGCTAGTTCACTGGCAATTGAAATTAATTAATAATGAAATAACACAAGTAAAACATAAGCAAATCAAGATTCTCAAAAATAATGTTTCTAAATAACTAACTAATACATGATTTAAATTATTACAATAATTACATACTAACTGTCTAAAGTTGATCTGTAACAATTTTCTCTGAAAGCCTGTAAATTACTTCAGCCATTTGAGCATTAATCCTGGCTTCATCAGGAAGATACACATCGACTGGTGCTTTCGGTTTAGGATGCTTGTTTGGAAACCTAGTATCAAGATATGTACTTTCCATTGTTGATGCTATCCTTGGTAGTTCCTCAAGCTGGCCAGGTTTTTCAGATGATAAAGCACGAGCATGACTTGCTAGGTGATGATGAACTAGTGATTCACTGGAAGGATTAATACCAATCAATTTATACATTGCAGCTTTCAATGATTTTTCAACAACTTCATGTGCCATAAAAGAAACTTGGCAAGACACAGGTTTGTTATCAAGAGAATCAAGTAGGATCCTCATAGCTTCAAGATCAGATTTTGCCTGTCTGAGCCAGCGTTGAGCTTCAATTTCATCAGGTTCAGGAGCAATGTAGGTCCACCATCCACCACCACCTCCACCTCCACCACCACCACTCCATCTTCCTCCTCCTCCTCCTCCATAACTTGATCTACTGATATCATCCTTACACTTGTCATAATAATCATGCCAAACAGATGACTTATAGTCATCATCTTCTGTTTCCTCATCTTCTGGTTCTTCTATTGGCAGCCCATTCTCTAGTCGCTCAAGCTGCCTCAATAAATACTTGAATGCTTCTTCATAAAGAATCTTATTACCTGATACTTTGTCTGGGTGGTATTTTAAAAACATCCTACGCACTGCTTTTTTCTTTTCATCACTGGTCAGATCAGAATTCCATATGAGCTTTAGTTCTTTAGCAATTTTACATTTTATTGCAAGCAGCTCTTTGCTATCTTTAATCAGCTGAAGCTCTGATGATCCACCTTCTGAAGTAACTACGGCTGTGTCCAAGCTTAATTCAACCGTTTCTTCAGGTACAAACTTGTATAAGTAAACAGATGATACTATTTTAGGCTCTTCAGTTTCAGACCATGCTATCATGTATCGTTTTAGCTTAGGTTCATTTGAATTGTCATCAACAGGATAAAGTATCATAGCCCATATGTAATGATTTGCTGCCTTTTCATATCCAATTAGATCCTGAGGTCTTAAAATATGATTTATATCTTGAGAAAGCAGTCTGACTAATGCTTCTGGTAGAGAGCAACCAATCTTAGGAACATAATCATCTCTCACTTCATCACTGATATTAGATAATACATTGAAATCTTGTTCCTGCACTAATTCTTGCATTTCATCCATTGTTTGCACTGCAAGTAATTGACTGAGAAAATTTCTACAACTGAAGAATTTTACTAAATCACAGTCAAGAGTACGACTAATTTCTATGCAAAGAGTTTGAGCCATTTCTTTCCATAGGCTTGGACTAGGTGAAATATTTGTATCTACATAAAGTGTATATTTTTGGTTATTCCTCTGAAGTGAATAAGTAACTTTAAACTCTCCAATGGACTCAATGTCGTCACCTAGCCTCACTCTTACACATAAGTCAATGATTGCCACTACATCCATTTCAAGTAATATTTCTTGTAATTTTGCAACAAAATTTGCCCTTATGTCTTCATTTACAGAAGTCTCAGTAGGTAATGATGGCTGAATCAAGTTAGAAAAGTGTGCAGCTATTTGTGAAAACGAATTCCTAAAATTTTCGAAATGCTGAACCAGAGGGCTTTTATCACTTATGCTAAATTCAACAACTGTTTCATGGGCACAAAGAGAAAGACCAATTGGTCTAATTTCCTTTGGTAATTTAAGGCAGAATTTTTTTTCAGTGAGACCAACTGGTCTAATAATTGGCTTTGGTAATGTAAAAGAGAAATCCTTTTCAGGGATAGACTTAATAATTCCAACAGGAATAGTAAATAAAGAATATGATGAATTAGAAAAATGATGTGGACTTAATTGGCTGAACCTTTTGGTGTCTAGAAAAACAAGCTGCTTTGGTGGAACCAATTTAAATTGTAACTGATTTATTTGAGCTGGTAGGCACAATGACTGAAGCTGTGATAATTTATCAGATTTTGTAATGTGTTCATCTAGAAGAACATGAAGCTTACAAATTGCTCTTTCAATGCGAATTATTTCATTTGGTTCAGCAATAGCACTCCTGGAATGGAATTGATTCATCAGTCTTAGCATATAGTTGATGTGTCTTAACTCTAGCTCATTACTAACACCCATAATATTTAAGGCTTCCATTATGCCAGACAACTTGATTGGAACATTATGAAGGTACGGAAAAAAACCTGAAGCAGCTTGTGAACCCAAGACCTGTTGTGGTCTGACAAGAATGGGTTTGACTAATTTGCTTTTACTTGTTTCATCAGCATGAACTGGTATGCATGGCACATCAGTTAGCTGTTGCAGGAGTTCATTATGTTCATTTTCAAGTAAGTAATGAATATTCTGAGAAATGACATTAAAAATATCAGCTCGACTTCCATCATCATCACGACATTCAAGAACAGGATCATATGTTGAAAATAAATGTGGATTTGCTAAGTTTGTTCGTGAGATATTAATGATATTTTGGTAAACTTCTTTTGGATCTGGATCTAATGTCACTCCTAGCTCTTTTAAAATAGCCAAAGCCTCAATATTTGTCATAAGGGGAGAAAGTGTAGGTAGGACAATTACTGGCCTGACTGTCCATATAAGTGGTGCATTTTTGTAAAATACAGCTTCATTGAGCTTTGTCAGGCCAATATTTTGAGACTGATGTTCATATGGTGGACTGCAGGGAGCTTTGATCCAAGTAAACTGTTGAAGTTTATCTGTTCTGACAAATCTTATGTCACCAATTGTAGACATTTTGTATTTGTTGCTGTGCCATGATTTAGCAGCAAATTTTGAGAAAATGTATGAAAATAAAACATTTGATGCTGTCCTTAGTTCAGGATGATCACCTCTTGAAACTTGCTCTGATAATCGGACAAAGGTTTCAAAATCTATATTCACTTGCAAATCAAGTTTACGAAAAAATTCTAGCCAATCCTCTGAGCGGTAATCATCATTTACAAAATGAAAATGCTCAGGAAAAGTAGTGAATATAGGCAGAGTGTGATCACAGAAACTAGCAATATTCAATAAAATGTTATTGTGCATAAGGCATTTTAATGCCTTTAGAGCAGTTACAAACTTCACTGCAAGTGGATACATTGAACTATGCACATAATTAGGCTTAGCTTGAAATATTGCATTATCGAGAAGTTTGTCTCTGATATATTCAAGATGTTGCTTTCTCTCTGCCTCTGTTAGTTCAGCAAAGCAAGGGAAAATTAATTTGCAGTATATTTCTCTCTCATCAGGAATTTCTCCTAATAATGCAAAATCAGTTCCACATAAATTTCTCCATGATCCATTGTACTCAAGAAACACAACATTTTCCAACAAGGCCCACTTCTCATATCCAGCCAAACAGAAGCCACCTCTTGGCCATAAATACACACTTTTTCCCAACAATGAGGTAAATACCCCACTTACTGTCTTAAATATAGGGAAAGATTTGATCTGGTTCATTATTGCAGAGGTGTGTCTGAAAGAAGTTCTACTGAAATAACACAATAATATATTAATGTCTTCTTCAGACAACTCTGAACTTTCAAGGATGTTGCACTGATTTTGCTTATTATATATCACTCGAAATACTTGATCGTAGTCAGAAAGCACAGGACAATATTTGGAAGCATTGATATGCACAGTCAAATCAAGTGAAGGGATACAAAGAAAATCAAACAAAATTATTTTCAATCTTGATTCCTTATGTAATGCTGTATTACTAGTTTCACGAATAGGTAGTACTGGAGAATCTGATCGATAGAGGAAGTGACTTTTTGATGGCAACAAGGCCCAGTGTCTAACAAATTCTTTCTGATGTTGATAAAAGTTTTCGCTATCATCTGACAAGCAGATCCACAAAGATTCCAACACAGTTCTGTCTATTATATGATCATCCACTTCAAAATGGGACAACTCTGGTGGTAAGTTTGCACAAAATATTTCATTAACATGAGAAAAGGTAACTTCTTCTTTTTGTAAGAAGTACGAAGGAGACATATACAGTTCTAGCATATCAGGATGTACAAAAGCACTATCACTTTTTGGAAAAAGTTTAGAATACTTACTGCACAAAACTTTATTATCTTTTTTAAAAAATCTGATGCAACTGTCTGCTGTTAATAGAAGTGGCAAATCATATGGAAGCTCAAAAAATTCAAATTTGTAACTACTCTCAGATTTCTTCATTATGTACCTTAGGAAGTCACAAAAATTTTGTTCCGTTACAAAAGGAGTAGATGAGACAGGTTCAGAATTGGAGCTGACTATGTGTGAATGGAATTTTTTGTAGAAATCAAATGTTTTATTTGGTTTAGCAATGAAAGATCCAAATTCCTTGCAGTGCTTGTGTAAGTCCTTGGAGGCACAAGTGAGTGTCATACCTATCTTTCTCAGGATTGATAATACATACTTTGATCTTGGACCAGGTTGAAAGTAAACTTGAGAGAATGGTTTAGCATCATTGTGAAGCATGTGCCATTTAGGTTTTATAATGCTCTTATCATATGCTTCAACTACCAGTACTTCAACATTCATTGTCCAAAGCTTTAAAAAGACTGATTCAGCTAGAGAAAGCCATTGAGGATCAAGAATTTTTTCTTTCTTTACAGTAGCTGATTGAGAAGTAGTTCCATTATTACTATATGATGTTATCATAGGTAAAATTCCAACACTGACATTGGGTGATGCATTGCTACTTGTTTTATCTTTAGAAACTTTTGATGACATCCAGTATGGAAACAATTCATAATATCTATTAACAGCAGCATAAAACTCATCCCTATCACTGTAGCCAGAGTCAATAATGACAAGATGTCTCAATTCTGTAAGAAAATGAACATATGATGAAGCTATTGCTTCCACCATTTGTTTATTCCAATTAATTTTATCACTATACTCATCATCACCTCCCCTCCATAAAGCACGACGATTGCTACTCAAAACAAACTGACCATTTACATGAACAGGGAGTTTAGAATTAATAGGCAGTGGTAAAAAACAGAAAATTCTACCTGAAAAGTATGGCATTGGCTTCAAAGGAACTGCCAAGCCATGCTTAGGTAGTACATGATCCATAAACTGCCACTGCTGGTCTGATTTGAGTAAATCACCCACACCCTGCTGAATAACCCACTCCTGTTCTTTCTGTTTAGAAATACTAGTAAAACGATAGTCTTCACTGTGAAGGGTGAGAGTATATGTAAAAACTTTAGGAACACAAGTTCTTTGTGACTTTTTTAATGCAGACTGCTCACTTAAGTGTGACTGGTAATTACAACGACTATCCAATGCTGTTTCACTCATAGTCACACTATACCTAGTTTTTAACTTAAACTCACACTCAATACTCTCAATGACATAATACTCAAACTGTGATATGTGATTCAGGAACAAAAGTGCTTCTTCAATCTTAATGACCCATTTATCAAGCATTTCTTTCATGCCTTCTGCAGAGTGAACTTCTTTATTCTCTAAAATCTCTGATTTTTGTACAAGACTGTATGTTGATCTAAGAGGATATCGAAAGAGGGTCCCAGTTTTCAAATATTCCGGTTGGTTAGGGATAGGGTCTTGAAGGTAAGCACTTCGTAAGTCTTTCATCTTCTCCCAAAAGCCATTATTAAGGTTCCCATATTGCCTTCCAGGATGGAGTTTATTTGCTCCTTGCACATATCGACAGTGAGGATCAAACACACAAAGAATACTGTTATTTCTTGATATAAAGCTAGGACAATCAGTCACATGATAAACAACATTAAAACCAACACCAAACTGACCAATTGATTCATCATCTTCTCGTTTAGAGCCAAGACCAAGCTTTTGTATGCCTATCAAATCTTTATCAGTGAAGTCAGTATCATTCCAAACTAAGAGAGCGGGACCTTGTAAATCATTACTCCAGTCCTTTGAAAGGGTAGTTTCTTTACCATGATGTCTCTTATCTAATATTACACACATTCTATTTGCTTTTGCATCATCAGAATTTTGCAGAAGTTCCTTAATAAAGCTCTCATTAAGTGGATAGTCTCGTAAGATATTTTTAATTCTCTGAGTAAGGTCCTCTCTCTGACCAAATTCTGAGCCAAAAGCTGAATCATCAGCAAACTTGTCTAAGAAACTACTTCGATAGAATTTCACTCTCAAAGATTCTGCTCTATGACTTGTCATATTCTTATGAATAAAGTGATATTTATCTTCCTCAATTTCGAGCCACTTTGCATCATTGTAATAGAGGTCAGTGTTTGGACGCAAGAAATAATTTTGATCAACTAATATTATCTCTTCTCTTCCTTCACAGGTCTCTTTTGCTGAAACTATTTCTGACACTAATAGATCAATAAATTCATGAAAGTCAGGTGGCAACGGATTTTGACTATATTTTTGGTACAATTCAGCTAAAGTATCCAGCAGCTTATGTAGATCAAAGTTATCCTGAATATTGAGTACCTCTTGTAAATTTTTTCTCATCGACATAATGCCAGGAAGCTTGTACAAAATTGGACCCTTTTCTAGTTTCCAGTTCTTTGCAACATTTGCTGGACTTACAAATTCTTTATCATTCCATATAAATGGTTTGTGACAATAGCAGCCTAATTTTTGTTCAATCTCTGTTTTTGGCAAATTTTCAAAAAATTCGTATACATTTCGACATATAGCATGTATATGAGACCAAGAGGCTTCCTCTTGAAGAAATTGTTTGCTATTATCACCTGCCATGAGCTCAATCAAAAGCTGAAAATGGTTTAAAACATCATCAAGTGTTGGCCTTGTAGAAATTTCTAGTAGCTGTAACACTCGATGTGGAATTAAACCACATCCATCCATAAAATCAATGTTAACAATAGCTTTCTGGCTTCCAGCAATAATGCCAACCTTCCACAAATCAGTGCTGTGTCTCACAGCTAAAACTTCTGAAGGTGGCAAAACTGTGCTGCCATTTCCTTTCCATGGCAAAATGTAGTTTTCAGGCATCTGTAGCACTGGTAGAAAAGGAACAGATTTAAGAGCATCATCAGGGCAACTTTTATATGTAGTTTGGTCAATAGATTTGATTATACGTTTCACTCTTCTAAGTGCTTTGTTTTTGTCACTATCAAATAGTAACTTAATGGTATTGGCACTGCTGATGATTGCAGCCCATGAAATAGTGGTAGTCATTAAATTAAGTTGCTTAATCATTGCTTCACGTACTAGAGGGTTATCATAAAAGTCATGCAATGGAAAGATGCCATCTTCTGGATCAAACATGTCTTGAAATTCTACAGAATCAACTAGCTCACCGGCTAATTTGAGAGCAGCTCCATTGGGTGAAGTAGGAATTGAAGGAACTTTTTTAAACTCATTTGTGCATTCAGTGTATTTACCAGGATCAGATCCAATAGCTGAAAGCATTATGAGGAGAATTTTGTTTCGAGTTTCAAAGCAGTCATAAAATAAGTCAATCTTGTTTAGAAACTTAGTAGTAAACACGCTCTCACTTATTATACAAGCTGTATCTTTTAACCCATCTAAATAAGATTTTGGTAATGAGACCACTGGTAGCTGTAGAACAGAGGCAGCTTTATCAAATGAAGTATAGTCACTTGATCCAAATAACGAAGTAATGAATTGGGATTCATTTAATGTCAACCACTGATGAGTTGAACTGGAGTAAAACAAGCTTTCGTGTGATATTAATTTAAGCAGAACAGGAATCATATCCTCCCATGGATATTTCATTTGTAGTTCCTTACTTAGTGGCCACAAGGCATAAAATTCATATGATACCAGACTCCCTACAATACACATTTCTTTCAACATTTTTAACAAATTGCAATATGCTTTTGGTATGATTGTAGTCATCAGCTTCTTATTCCAATACTCCCTTGAATCAGAAGGCTCTTCAGATGAAGCTCCAGTCCAGATACCACTCCTGTTGCTCATTACAGCAAAGTTAGCATTAACGTGGACTGGTAGGCCAGTGCAAGGCAGTGAAAGTGGAAGAAAACAAAACACACTACCTTCAATTGCTTTGCATTCAAAACTTGAATTGTCCTTAACTAGCTGGCAAGCTATGGATGCAGTTCCAGGCTGGTAGTCACCTCCTTGTGCTTGTAACTTCTGTTCCTGGCAAGATACTAACCAATATTCACTAACTGAGTTGTTAGCAGGAGAATTAGTTATGCAATATTTAATGCCATTTTCTTCATTGATACTGCTAATACATACTTCATCCTCTTGCATTGAGTGAAAAGTTATACGCTTAACATTCTGTAAAAAAAGAAGTAGCTTTGAGCCATTTTCTATGAGGTCATTCTTCATTTTTTGTACAAGATGTTTATTATAAATTGTAGAGCTAATTTGACTCGCACTTGTTCTAAAAGGAAGTCGGAAAATGGTACCATTGTAATCGGCAGTAGATTTGAAACCAAACAAATTTTCATAAGGAGCCATTTGTTGAGACTGAGCTAAAAACTTAGACTGATACTGAACTTTTTTACCCGGTCTACTCTCATTACGAACTACACCTTTAAGGTATTTAAGTGTTGGATCAAATATATACAACCACTTACCACTAACAAAGGAAGGTACATCAGTGATGTGATACACTGAGCAAAAACCAACACCAAATTTACCAATTTTGAGTGGCTGGTTAGCTTTAGTAGCACCAGCCAGTTTGGTAATGTTTTCAAAGTCCTCTTTGGTGAATGTGCTGTTATTGTGGACAATCAATGCTGGTCCATGGCTCTCTGCCATTCCTTTAAATAACAGCTTCTGTGTTGAATGTGTTCGATCATCATATAATATATTGACTTCAGTTGCTCCAGCATCATCGGCATTTTGAATCATCTCTTTTATAATAGTGAGGCCATCTTTGTATTCTCTCAAGATGTTACCAAGTCGTGTTGTTAATGGTTCATGTTGACCGGCATCATCAAACACATCCTCAGTGATATCAAGATGATCACTGAGTGGGGTTATTCCTAGTACAGGAACCAAGTAAGTCACTTTAGGATGCATGAGGCTGTACTCTTCATTTGAGGAAATAGCAATATCTCGAAGCATTTCATTATCAGTATAAGATACCTTCTCAATAGGTAGGAGCTGAGGATAAGAGGAATCACTCTCAACTGGTATTAAAACATTACCTTCTTCCATTCTGTCAGTATCATCTGCTATCCAATCCAATATAGCTCTAACTATTGACCAAGCATTATCATCAGTAATTTGTGAGTCACTAGGTTGACACTGTATTGATGTAAGGACTGATAAAATCTGACTAGCAGTCACACTATCTGGTACACCACATCGAATGAAGAGATTTGAAAACTTTTGCAAGGTTGA